AATCACTTGAACCTGGGAGGCAGAGATTGCAATGAGCTGAGATTGCCCCATTGCACTCCAGCCTGGGCAACAGAGTAGGACTGTGTCTCCAAAAAAAGAAAAAGAAAGAAGCAAAAGAAATTCTAAATAAATATTAGCACATTAAATCCAACATTGTAATTTTTAAATGCTATATTATGACCTAATAGGACTTATTCCAAAAAGGCAAGAATGGTTCAGCCTCAGGTCATGTATTCCTGTTAATCCCTGCACTGAGAAAATAATTGATAAAACCATACAGCCTTATCGGTGGTATTTAATAAAAATGTACTACTGAATCCAGATTTTTTTTTAAAAAACAAACTGTTAGTAAATTATAAATAGAAAGGAGATTTCTGTATTTAGTAAAAAATGACATCTACTTGCAGCAAGCTATATTTAATGATGAAACCATATTTAATGGTGGGCTCATTAAAGGCAGCAATGCAGTGTGTTATTATAATTCAGTATTTTAACTGGGTCTGAGCCAATTAAAAAACAAATTTGTTGTAGAAGAAGAGACAGTACTGTCATTTGCAAATTATTTTAATGTCTCCATGGAAAATCTAAGAAAATTAAATATATGTATAAGAGAACTCCTAAGAGGATGATACTGTGACATATACAAAATCAACTTGCAAAAATCCAGTTTTCCTACATACCAGCAACACTCACGTAGAGAATGAAATGGAGCAACTAGTTCTTACAGTTTCTAGAAGAACTAGAAAATGCCTAGGAATACATCTACAAGAGGGCAGCTGGAATATCTGGAAAAGCATGCTCCGTCTTTAGTAACCATGCCACGGCTGCAGATTATGCTGATGTTAATTTGTCAATAAATATGCTCTACTCAATTTGGCAAAGGTTTGTGCTTTTTGTTCTTCATGGTTTTTTTTTTTGGAAGCATATAAAGCTAGCCAATATTGTTTTTCATTTTACTCATTCTCATTTTAATGGTTTTTGTGTCACAGTGTGTCCAGATACGTTCATGAGACAAAAGCCTATATACAGTACTAAGTCAGTCCTGGCCTAATGTTTGTACCAGCCCATTTTCTTTATGGTTTCGAGGTCAGAATATCTGTATTTCTTTAAAATTGAACTGTGAATCAAGTATCCAGTTGAAGATAATTCTTTCATTCTTTCTCTGGTCCATGGTGAATCTCTCTCTCTTTTTTTATTTTTTTTATTTTTTGAGACAGTCTTGCTGTGTTGCCCAGGCTGGAGTACAGTGGCTCGATCTCGTCTCACTGCAACATCCATCTTTCGGGTTCAAGTGATTCTCCTGCCTCAGCCTCCTGAGTAGCTTGGACTATAGGCATGTGCCATCACACAAGGTTTCACCATGTTATCCAAGATGATCTCTATCTCCTGCCCTCGTGATCCACCCACCTTGGCCTCCCAAAGTGCTGGGACTATAGAGGTGAGCGACTGCACCCAGCCCATGGTGGATATCTTAATTTTTCATATCAAAACTCACAGAGGCCAGGCGTGGTGGCTTATGCCTGTAATCCCAGCATTTTGGGAGGCAGAGGCAGGCAGATCACAAGGTCAGGAGTTTGAGACCAGCCTGGCCAATGTGGTGAAACCTCATCTCTACTAAAACTACAAAAATTAACCAGGTATGGTAGTGTGTGCCTATAGTCCCAGCTACTTGGGAGACAGAGGCAGAAGAATTGCTTGAATCCAGGAGGCAGAGGTTGCAGTGAGCCAAGATCGCACCACTGACTCTAGTCTGGGAAACATAGCGAGACTTTTAACTCAAAAAAACAACAAAAACTCTCACAGATCATTTTTTTTGTTTAAATTTTTTTTTGGTGAGACTGGGCATAGTGACTTATGTTTATAATCCCAGGACTTTGGGAGGCCAAGGGGAGAGGATCATCTGACCCCAGGAGTTTGGGACCAGCCTGGGCAATGTAGTGAGACCCCTGTCTGCAAAATATAAATTTAAAAACATATTTAGTCATACGCAGTAGTGCATGCCCATAGTCCCAGCTACTTAGGAGTCTGAGATGGAAGTATCGCTTGAGTCTGGGAGATTGAGGCAGCAGTGAGCCATGAATGTACCACTGCACTCCAGCCTGGGAGACAGAGCAAGATCCTGTCTTAAAAAAAAAAAAATACTTTGGTGAAAAATAAGGGTAAATCTGTTTCAGCTGTGTTAATGGCTGTTCATAATTCTTCACTGAATGATCAGGATAGAACTCGAATCAATTCTGCAGTTCTGCTTGCTCCTGGGATAATGCTGCTGAGCTCCACAACCTGGTCTCAGGCAGTGCTTTCAAGCCCTCTGGAGGCTGCAGGGAGATCCCTTCCTTGCCTCTTCCAGCCTCTGGTCGCTGCTGCCTTCCTTGACTTGGTGGCAGCATCGCTCCAGACTCTGCCTCCACGGTTGACAATGTCTCCTTCTCTCCTGCGTGTGTGTCACATTGAAGGATACATGTAATTGTATTCAGGGCCAACCTGGCTAATCCAGGATAATCTCTCTCATCTGAAGATCCATGACTAAATCACATTTATGTACATGTTCCCCAAAGAAAGCACACTTTAGAGGCAATCCGGGCAGAATTTTGAATACCAGTCAGTTGCTACCTTGTTGACCTTGACCAAGCTCCTTCTTTGAACTTTACTTTCTTCATCTGCAAATGGAATTAATACATGCCTATCTCAGCGTTAGAAAGGGTTCAGAGAAATTATGTTGATTGAAATACTACCTGGATTTCTTTTTTCTTTACTTGGATTCAAAGCTTTGTTTGGACTCATCTTTTATCTTCAGAGCCTGTCCCTGGCACATAGAGGTTGCCCAGTAAATGTTTCCTGACTAATCTTCTGTCCTCTGTAGGACAGCCTGCTATCGCACTGTTATGTACTGTGGGGGACAGTGGGGGACAGCTTGGTGGTGATGGCCTATCCAGAAACATTCTGTATGTGAGAGCTATGTCATTAATTAACCAAAGTGAGAGGGATGTGTGAAAAGCTGAGTCCGTAATGCTGTGGTTTCTGTATAAATATGCTAAATGGAGTGCATATCTGATTCAGGAAAAGAACTGTTGATCCCAAAAGGGGAAAATTAGACATGGAGAGTGACATGAGTGCTTAGATATCTACACACGTATGCATGCACACATGCATGCATCATAAAGGATTATTTTTTAACCTTGGTGTTTTGTATTTGGGCTGTGTGTTAACAGTCAGTGTCAATTTCTGCCATCTGAGCTGTGGGCGATTCCCATGGCTGTGAGGTTTCTTCCAACTGGACGTTAAGTTACTGAGAACAGGAATTAGTGATGTGATGATGCGTGTCTTCTTTGGCTACCTGGTCAGCATTCATAAATGGTGATAATGGATTGAATGCTGCAGTTTCAACCTTCCTGACGTCAGAGGAGAGTGTTACTTTGGGGCTTGAATAGCTATTGATCCAGCTGGGCCTTGGTTAATGAGTCATTTGGCTTACAGTGTTCCTGAGTCACAGGCTGTCCTGAAGATCACCTGCTGACTCATCGGCGCCCTCGCTTGCCCAAGGCCTCCTGCAGTGACGTGCAGAGGAAAGGAGCCCAGGTCTGCGGGTGGGGGACCCATCCTCTGAGAAGCCTGCAGCTTCCCCTCCAGGACTTTCCAGGACCCTTCCACCCCATCTGGCTGGCTGTGGCGAGAAGGGCAGCTGGGAGCGTTGGAGAGGGAGGGAACTTAAAGAAGCAGTAGGAGGCACACTTGGAAGCCCGGGGAAGAAAGTCCACCTCCCTGCCAATGTAGGGCAGTGAGAGGAGCCCTGGCACCAGCAGAGCAAGAAAGAAATGCTCTGAGACCACATACAGCATTCAGAATAAGCTGTCAGGTGATCTGGGTGTTTAAGACTTACTTATTAATGATATGTGACATTTAGTATTTCAATTTCGATGCCTATTTAAGATTGAACTAACCCTTTGAATCCTGGTGATGCTTTTGAGCTGCTCCTCTCGGGCGCTTGTGGCATCATGTTGGCAGACTCTGAGCAAGATCTTTAGTGAAATGAAAAACAAAAGGTATTTAAGTAGCAGTAAGTAGAGCAGACATTTGAGAGTTTGCTGGGTTCCAGAGAGTGTTATGTGAATGCAAATGTTGGAAATGTAATCTGGATCCTCAGAGAATTTCTAAACTGTTGGGAGAGATTTGATGACCAGAGGCAATTAGAGAACAGCATTCTAGGGTCTAGAAGCAAACTAGTGGCCCGGCGCAGTGGCTCATGCCTGTAATCCTAACACTTTGGGAGGCTGAGGTGGGTAGATCAGAAGGGCAGGAGTTCAACACCAGCCTGGCCAACATGGTGAAACCCCAGCTCTACTAAAAATACAAAAATCAGCTGGGTGTGGTGGTGGTCGCCTGTAGTCCTAGCTACTCAGGAGGCTGAGGCAGGACAATTGCTTGAACCCAAGACGGGGAGATTGTAGTGAGCCGAGATTGGTCACACCACTGCACTCCAGCCTGGGCAACAGAGTGAAACTCTGCCTCAAAAAGAAAAAAAAAAAAAAGAAGCAAACTAGCAACTCTATGATGAAGAGCTCACTGAGGACCAGGCTAATGGGAGTGGTTTCGTGCATTCACTCAGAAGTGATTGAGAGACTTCTGAGCCAGGGTTGGGTGTACACGGGGATGAAATATACTCCCTTCTGTTTCCACGCCTATGGGGTAGCAAGGAGCTAGATTAGCAAACAATTAAAATACAACACATTCTACTGTACAAGTATGAGAGAATACTGAGGGAGAAGGCAGGTGCGAGCTGAGCCTTTACCACCAGAGCGAAGGAGAGGGTCTCTGTGCTTAGGTCAATTTCACAGCTGTGTGGGGGCAAATGGGAGTATTTTCCTAGCAGTCTTTAAAACGCTGTCTTCCATACTGCCTAACCTGTTTAAAGTAACTGTGAAGGAAAAAGATGCTTTTGAATTATGATGATTGTAATGTTATTGACAGATCTTAGCCGGTAACTGTTTTCCTTTTCTCCTTAGTGTCAAATCAACAGTGCCTTGACGTCTTTCCACACTGCTTTGGAACTTGCAGTAGATCAGCGAGAAATTCAGCATGTCTGTCTGTATGAAATTGGTAAATATGAATGTCTGTCCAGCCTCTTGTTAGGAAGTAGTATTGAGGGAGTATTTTAGCATTCATGTCATTCGGTGTGTGTCTGCAAAATGCTTGGTGCCTTCTTTAGTAAGAAGGACTTCAATTATTACCGTAGTACATGCAATGATCCTTCTTTCTCTGATTCTCCTTAGTTCTTTGTAACATTTTTTTCTTCATAGCATTTTGATTTTAGGATAATAGTAATGTTAAATGAATTGATTAAATGACCATAAATACCTTATTGGGCTGCACATTAGAATTCAAAACTCTTTGTTCCTCCTTCCCACCAATATTTACTTGAGAAGAAAAATAGGGGACAGTAGACGGTTGGACTCAAGTCCCAGTGTTTTTCACCAACTAGCTCTGAGATCTTAGATACGTTGCCCAAACCTTCCTAGCCACATAGTTGCCATTGGAGTTAAAGGGCCTCCTCTTGTGGCAGCTGTTAGGTGTAGATGACATGACGTGTGAAGCTTCATGCATGGAGCCTGGCACAGAAGGCCCTTCATACATGTTAGCTTCCACCTTCTGCTTCTCCCTTACTGGAGAGACAGTCACAAACACACCTGGAGGTATTGATCTGCCTAAGACTTTCCCCTTTCTTCTCCAAAATTGTTGCTATGGGTCTTTGCTGACTGCACTAAAACCCTGATCCTCTTACATTAGTAATTGCAAAATCCTTCTGTGTAACAGTTTCTCCATTGTGCTGGGAGGAGTAAACACGACTTGGAACTTGAAGCAAAAAAAAATTTAAATAAGGGACTCAGACTTTTCAGAGTTTCAGCTTAGCTAATGCTATAAGGTCACGTCATGTAGCATATAAGAAAGGAATGAAAGAGGCAAAGAGAAAGGAGAAATGATGAGATAGTGACGAGACTCCAAAGGGAAACTGAGACTTAAAAAGCTTTCTGCAGAGGGGCAAGGAATTGGAGCCAGAATGCTGGAGGAAGCAGTTGACACCGGTCAGTTTGGGGGCGGGAGGGGCTCTGTGCTGCCTGCCACTTGTTTTGCCTGCCGTGGGCACAATTTTTGTCTTCCTGAATCCTTTTAAGGAAAACTGAAAAACGAAAATATTGCAGACTGCCCAATAAACGATATTATGTTTTAAATGCCTGCTGTGGTTTGAAAAGAGGAAATGAAGTATAATCCAGTGGAAAATGTGTTTTTGTGTCATCTACATTCTGCTGGAGCTCTGCTTAGTAGCCATAATATAGAATGAAATGTGTTTCAAAGAACTTGAATGAAAAAGTGTAGCTTTGATAGCCTTTTGTTGGCGCACCATTTCAAGGCCTATGACAAGATAGAATGTTAGAGCAGAAGGAAGCTTAGAAATCTTTCAACCCAGGCCTTAGGAAGGTTAACTGAGGAACACATAGTGACTCAGGCTTCCGATTCAGGCTCAGAAACTTGAGTTAGTACCTATTCCCAAGTTGTTCCTGACTTAATTCCTGAGTCAATACTTTCTTCCATCTCTATTTTACGTTTAATTCAAATCTTACCCCAATTATACCTATAATCTCAGCCCTTTGGGAGGCTGAGGGGGACAGATCGCTTAAAGCCAGGAGTTCGAGACCAGCCTGGCCAACATGGTGAAACCCTGTCTTTACCAGAAATACAAAAATTAGCCAGGCCTGGTGGTGGATGCCTGTAATTCCAGCTACTCAGGAGGCTGACGCAGGAGATTGGCTTCAACCCAGGAGGCAGAGGTTGCAGCCAGCTGAGATCCCACCACTGCACTCCAGCCTGGGTGACAGAGCGAGACTCCATTTCAAAAAAAAAAAAAGCCCAAATTTTTGCTCTAAACTATGTCAGCATCATATCCCATAGGATTTGACAGCAAATTTTCTGAATTGTGTATCTCGCCCACTCTTCCTCTCACAGTTTAAATGGCAAGTCTCAGTTTATACAATTAGTGGTGTGCCTGATAACAGAATTTTTTTAAAGGAGGCAATGTCATGTAAAGAAAAGTGTGTTGGACTTTGATCCACAGTTCTTCCTTCTTCTTAGCTGCATAGCTTCAGCAAGTTAGACACCTCTTGATACCTTAGTTTTTTTTGTTTTTTGTTTTTTGTTTTTTTTTTTTGAGTCAGGGTCTCTCTGTCACCCAGGCTGGAGTGCAGTGGTGCAATCTCGGCTCACTGCAGCCCAGACCTTTCCAGCTCGGGTGATCCTCCTACTCCAGTCTCCCAAGTAGCTGGAATTACAAGTGTGTACTACCACGCCTGGCTAATTTTTTGTAGAGACAGTATTTTGCCACGTTGCCTAGGCTGGTCTTGATCTCTTGGGCTCAAGCGATCCTCCCACCTCAGCCTCACAAAGTGCTAGGATTACAGGCATAGGATTAGTCCTTGCTAATACAAGGACACTGTTAGCCACCTTTGCAAGATTGTCATAAGGATTAGACAGTGTTATATGAAGTGCCTACCACAGCACTGACGCACATTAGGGGCTCAAATGATGGGAGTTACTGTGATGAAAACTGGGAATGAAATCCTTTACATTTTAGTTGCAGCAGTTCCTTACTAGAATGCCCATCTAACAGTGTTTTGATCCAGGAAGGTGGAGTTCTTTCTCTACCAGTGTGCTGAGGGAAGGTGAGCAAATACCTAATTTCTCATTGGCTTGCTCTCTAGATCTTAAGAAGTTTTGAGAATGAGTAGATCAAACACAGTGGCTAACCTCTGTAATCCCAGCACTTTGGGAGGCTGTTCACCTGAGGTCGGGAGTTCAAGACCAGCCTAGCCAACATGGGGAAACCCCATCTCTACTAAAAATACAAAAATTAGCAGGGTATGGTGGCGGGTGACTGTAATCCCAGATACTTGGGAGGCTGAGGCAGGAGAATCGCTCGAACCCAGGGGGTGGAGGTTGCAGTGAGCTAAGATGGCACAATTGCACTCCGGCCTGGGAGAACGAGCGAAACTCCATCTCAAGAAAAATAAAAAAAAGAATGATTAGTAGTTACAGAGTATGTAATCAAATGGTGTTGCTTCCACTGTTTGTTAGTGCACCTGTGTGTACTGTGGGAGAAGTACTGCTGTGCTTGGGTTAACCTCATATCCGTTAGGACGTAAGTGGGAGTGTCTTTCTAGAAATTTTATGCTATTCTCTTCTGTGCTGTTTCATTGGTTGTCTGACTGAAACTTAAGTGCATTGTCTAATTCAAACTTTGTATTGAAAGTATTGGCCGGGCGCGGTGGCTCAAGCTTGTAATCCCAGCACTTTGGGAGGCTGAGGCGGGTGGATCACAAGGTCAAGAGATCGAGACCATCTTGGTCAACAAGGTGAAACCCTGTCTCTACTAAAAATACAAAAAAAAAAAAAAAAAATTAGCTGGGCATGGTGGTGCATGCCTGTAATCCCAGCTACTCAGGAGGCTGAGACAGGAGAATTGCCCAAACCCACGAGGTGGAGGTTTCGGTGAGCCGTGATCATGCCATTGCACTCCAGCCTGGGTAACAAGAGCGAAACTCCGTCTCAAAAAAAAAAAAAAAAAAGAAAGTATTTAAGGGAAAAAATAATTTCTTAGGTTTTCAGGTTAAATTTTCTACGCATTTCATAGAACATGCACAGAGAATGATCGCAGTTTCAGAGACTCGTGGCTTAAATAAGGGTCATAGAGCTCAGTACTTTACGGTCACGTGCTAAAAATATTTCTTTCATAGGTTGGTGCAGCATGATAGAGCTCAATTTCAAGGATGCGTTTGATTCCTTTGAGAGGCTAAAGAACGAGTCCAGGTGGTCCCAGTGCTATTATGCCTACTTGACTGCAGGTGAGTCACGCATGGCCCCTCAGGTTCCCTCTCCCTGTCATGAATTAGCTCACCTGACATCAGCAGACAGGAGAATGATGGCAGGAGGAAGCAAACGTTGTTCCCTTCCACGGCCTTCCCCAGCATGTTCATGTTTTGTGCAGCCAAGTAAATAGCACTGGAACACTGTGTTCACTGATCCAGGTGAACACCCAGAAATTCAGTCGTGTCCAGGATGCCTCTTTGCCGCACGCTTCCCCTCTGGGCCTGGTTTAGTCCTGTTCTCTGTCTTGGAAATGCATATTGTGAGGTCTTCCCAGTTATTGTACATTTTACCCTAAATAGCTTCAACCTGTCTCTATTCCTTTACTTTTTATGCTATGTTTTTTATTTATTAGGATTCTGAAGAATTTTTAAGAATTGAAGAGTCTTTTTTCATTGTGTTATTATTTTTTTTTTTGAGTCTGAGTCTTGCTCTGTTTCCCAGGTTGAAGTGCAGTGGCCTGATCACAACTTACTCTAGCCTCAACCTCCCAGGCTCAAGCCATACTCCTGCCTCAGCCTCCAGAGTAGCTGGGACTACAGACATGCCCACCACTCCCAGCTAATGTTTGAAAAAAATTTTGTAGCAACAAGGTCTTACTGTGTTGCCCAGGCTGATCTCTAACTTCCTGGGCTCAAGCGCTCCTCCTGCCTCAGCCTCCCAAAGCACTGGGATTATAGGCATGAGTCATGGAGCCTGACCTGTGTTAATATTTTTTAATTAGTGCTCTGGTTACAAAGTTGCATAGGTTTGAGTCATCTGCTCCAACCTTGTTTTACCTCCTAACCCTATTATATTTACAGTGTGATATTTCAGATGCAAGGTATTTCAACACTGCATATCGTTAATAACACCTGTATTCTATTTTGAGTGGGTTTTTTTTTTTTTTTTGCCCTTGTATGAGGAGGTAGAGATGTGCTGCCACCTGGTGGCCAAAATAGTTGTCTGCATCCTTCAATACCTAAAGGGCCACGTGATATAGAATTGTAGAGGTGTGGAATTGAAGAAAGCGAAGCCGTTGTACATTTTCTGCCTTTAAGCAACTTCATGTAAGCCTTTTCTGGTTTATGTAATGAATTCTTCTCATACAGCCACATAAGAGATTCTTTTACTTAAAATTCAAGACTCATCCAAACCTTATTTTCAATATCTTCTTATTCTTAATGTTGAGATTTAATGAACCATCTTCCACTTCCATTCTTCCCTCTTAACTGATCTATTTAAAATAAGATAGAATTGATTAACATTGGCCAATAAGTATGTTCTGGATATCTTAAATTCCCTATAAAATTGCATCAGTTCATTAATAGTGCAAAGCCCCGTTGCATCCATATTCCACATTGTGTTCCCCATCAGACATGCATGTTCTCATGGCTCTGTCCCTGATGTTTGAATAAGCTTTTTCATATACTGCATAATATGCTATTTCTCACACTTAAAGTGTTGTTGTATAGAATTTGACATCTCAGATGAAAGTAGCAGCTATTTGTTGAGTGACTCATTGTGTTTAATATGTTGAAGAGTGGATTAACCCAGATTGAATACCCCAGAGTAAAGAGGTCTGCACACAACTCAGCAGCCATTAGGTGTCATTGGACTGCACAGTCAATGGTGGACAGCTGTTTATATTTTCATCTCTGTTGTGCCTCAGTTACGTAAATGTACAGTGTGGCTGTATAGAGGAACATTTATTCCCCCAATATTTGGAAATCCCAGGACCATATTACAGATAGGAGAGGATAAGCATGAAAGATTCTGATCTCTGTTTCTGCATGGGGATTTTGTAGAGAGGTTAAGATGTGGGTGAATACAAACTTTACATGAGGCAGGGAAGGAGCACCCATCACACCATCATGCAGGAGCTGCCTTTTGGGCTGGCTGTGAGCTAGAGGGGATGGGCATTCAGGGGCCCCAGACAGTGCCACTAGGGCTTAGTTCCCCAGCATGTGAATGTTTTGTGTGACTCTGTCAATAGTTTTGTACTTTTAAAAGTTGTGGTAAAATATATAGCAACATTTACCATTTGAACTTTTTTTAGGTGTACATGTCAGTGACGTCAGATACACTCACATTGTTATGCAAACATCACCACATCCATCTCCGGAACTTTCTCATCATCCCAAACTCAAACTCTACCCATTAAGCAGGAACTCCCCATTCACTTTTCCCCCAAGACCCTGGTTACCACGCTTCTACTTTCTATTTCTGTGAATTTAAATATGCTACCTATCTTGTGAGGAAGTGGAATATGTTCGTCCTTTTGTGTCTGGCTTATTTCATTTAGCAGAATGGCTTCAGGGTTCATCCATGTTGTAACACGTGTCAGGATCTCTTTTCCTTTTTACAGGCTGAGTAATATTCCATTGTATGTATATGCCATATTGTTCATTCATTCATTGATGGACATGTGGAGTGTTTTTAGCTTGTGTGTGTGGAGTGCTTACCTGGAATACTTGTGTAAAGATACCTGTTCCAGTCCTTGCTTTCAATACCTTTGGGTAGATACCTATAAGTAGAATTGCTTGATCATACACCTCTACTACTCTTGCAACTTTTCTGTAAGTTTGAAATTATATCAAAATTATAAGTTACCAAAAAAGATTAGAATATTACATATGGGATTGTGTATACTTAGTCTTAATGGAAGAGCCCATCATCCTAAGCTCTGCTTAGGCCTCATGTTTTAGGATAAACCAGAGACTCCTATGCTTTTAAGCATCTGCATCTTTTAAAGCAACTGTCTGGCCACACGCGGTGGTTCACACCTGTAATCCCAGCACTTTGGGAAACCAAGGTGGGTGGAGGCCAAGATGTTGAAACCCTCTCTCTACTAAAGATACAAAAATTAGCTGGGTATGTTGGTGTGTGCCTGTAGTCCCAGCTACTGGGGAGGCTGATGCAGGAGAATCACTTGAACCTGGGAGGCAGAGGTTGCTGTGAGCTGAGATCATGCCACTGCACTCCAGCCTGGCAACAGAGTGAGACTCCATCTTTTCAAAAAAGAAGAATGAACCAGCAAATCAACTTTAGTACATTCCAACTGGGAAGTGAAAAACCACATGTGATCTAACAAAAACGGATAGAAATGGATTCAGCACCATCAGTGTTGAGAGGAAAGGACAGAGATTGGTGGTAAAGTTTCAAGCAGGTGGTGGTGCTGCAGCCAGTGTGAAGTTTGCAGAAGAGACAGAGAAGACACAGCAAAGGGAGGATCATTAAGTCTTTGGGGCCTGAGGTGAGAAGAGGGTGTGCAGATGATCAAAATCTCACTCATTCCTCAAGATGCTGCTTGACTTCTCCTAGCTCCTTACAGCATCTGGTCGCCCCAAAGAGAAATGATCCCTTGACTTTCTGAGCTTTCTTTCTTTTTTTTTTTTGAGATGGAGTTTTGCTCTTGTTACCCAGGCTGGAGTGCAATGGCAGGATCTCAGCTCACCACAACCTCCGCCTCCTGGGTTCAGGTAATTCTCCTACCTCAGCCTCCTGAGTAGCTGGGATTACAGGCACGCACCACCATGCCCAGCTGATTTTTTTTGTATTTTTAGTAGAGACGGGGTTTCACTATGTTGACCAGGATGGTCTCGATCTCTTGACCTCGTGATCCACCCGCCTCAGCCTCCCAAAGTGCTGGGATTACAGGCTTGAGCCACTGTGCCCGGCCGACTTTCTGAGCTTTCTAAAAAGCACTTTAGTTCTCCTACCCTAATGACTCCTGTCACTACATGCGTTGCAGCTTGTGGGGCCCCATGTGCTTGTGTGAGCAAGTGTGATCTCTTCCATTGAAATTTCAGTTTCTTCAGGGTTCAAGCACATGTGTTTCTTCTTCATAGTCTTGCTGGTGGCTTATAGGTAGTAGGCAGCCAAGGAACATGGACAGGATGGATTCATGACTTCCTAGGACAGGGAGATCCTCCTTCCACCATGAAGCTTTCACGATCCTCTGGGCTCTTCATTGTTCTTTCTTAGGTTTCTATTTATTCTGCTTTCGGAGCATGTGGGCTATAATGTAACTAGGTTGTACACTGAGACAGTAGCTAAGGATTTTGGTATGTGAGAACCTGTCTCCCCAACAAGAGGACAAAGACCATGGCTTTCCTCAAGCTCCCTCAAAGCTCTGGGAACACAGGCACCTGGAAAAGTGATCAGCAGGGCGGTACAGTCCTTTGTGGAATAGTCTTTCTTTTTTGTTGAGACAGAGTCTCATTCTGTCCCCTAGGCTGGAGTACAGTGGTATCATCTCAGCTCACTGCAACCTCCACCTTCCAGGTTCAAGCGATTCTCCTGCCTCAGCCTCCTGAGTAGCTGGGATTACAGGCATGTGCCACCATGCCTGGCTAATTTTTGGATTTTTAGCAGAGATGGGGTTTCACCGTGTTGGCTAGGCTGGTCTCAAATTCCTGACCTCAGGTGATCCACCCACCTCAGCTTCCCAAAGTGCCCTTCACAAACCAGCCCTTTGTGGAATGGTCTTTAAACATATTTGCTCCTGTTTTTTTTTTTGTTTTTTTTTTTTGTTTTTTTTTTTTTTAAGTATCATCACTTCAGGTATCCCTTAGTGGCATTTTCCCTGACTTAAACTTCAGAAATATAATTACGGTTTCTTACAGTTTGTCAGGGAGCCACTGGTGATGTGGATGGGGCACAGATTGTCTTTAAAGAAGTTCAGAAACTCTTCAAAAGGAAAAACAATCAGATTGAACAGTTCTCAGTGAAAAAGGTATGTTGGAGCCTATTTATCTGGTGTATTACTTACGATGGACGTTTGTAACCAACACCCCCTTGGCAAGCTTCAGGAAATTGTATTTAAGGCTGCCGATTTACTTGCCATGTAAAGTACAGTTTACCACCATGGAGAGAATTCTCTCCATGATTGCACCTCTGCTCTGAATAGAAGATTCTTGCCTTGCTGCAAATAATGAAAGCAGATTTTTTTCAAAGTTGACCAGCCCTGCAGATACAGTGCCTCAAAACATTGGGTTAAGACTCACAGTGGTTTCCCTTCATGGAAGTCTTTAGCTCAAAAGATGTATATGAACTAAAGAGTAACTGGAGTATAGGTTTTTTTTTTTTTAAATGAACGGAGACATCATACATTCTGCAGAGCTAATGAACACAACTCTAAAGAGGAAGATTTGTCTAAAGAATTAGGCGGTTTCGGAAGAATGGAAATTGGCAGGGCCTAGTGAGAAATGCAGGCTGTCGGGGGTTGAGAATAGGGAACGCCTCACATTTTGACGTAATAAAAAGCAAAAGTGTGTGTCACGGTTGCCAGCAGAAAGGCCCAAGACTGTAGATGTGTCCCTAATGTATTCTGTACTTTTGCGAATACAATTTTGCTGAATTACCTTGAGTTACATAATGTCTTATATCCTGATTTATCAGTTATTTTAGTTTTATATGTTTTTATTGAAGGAATAATGAAGTTTCTGAGTATAAATTAGGTAATAATGTACAGCTGAGAGCACTGGCACTAAATAGAAAATTTTAAAATCAAGAGAACTGTAACTAAAAGGCGTCCCCTCTTAGCTCCTCCATAGAAGCCCGTTGAATTATTAGCTGTAACCAAGCTTTATACATTCTGTTGCTCTAAATGCACATGAACCTAGTTTCACCCCCAAGTTTTCAGAATGTACCCTGCATCTTGATAGTAGGTTCAGTTGAATCATGAATGAAAGGCATAATTTTCAGTATGTCAAAAATCGAAAGCAACATTTCTTATAGACAGAGGAATTGTTATTCTTAGCTTTGAAGGAGAAGATCCTTCACACTGATGATGAACTATGTGCTTTTAAAGTGTCCAAGGTATATTTTTTATTTGAATCTGTTCTTGAAAAATGGAGCCTGTTTATTCTAACTCCTTACAGGCAGAGCGATTTCGGAAGCAAACCCCAACCAAAGCGCTGTGTGTGCTGGCGTCCATCGAAGTGTTGTACTTGTGGAAAGCTCTTCCAAACTGTTCCTTCCCCAACCTGCAGAGGATGAGCCAAGGTAAGAAATTTAATTAAAAAAAAACAACAACAACCCAGAACTCTGCAGTGGACACATTGGCTTCTTTTGTCAGTGCTCATTCTTCAGTTTCCCGTTTTTCTCATCCGACTGAGGGAGAGTATACACTTCTCCTTCTTAGATAAAGGGTGTCGTGATGAAAGAAATCCTGTCACTTAGGTGATGGGAGGAGGAGGCAGCACTGCTGTGTATAGATCTGCTTGCCTGAAACGTGTGATGCTTTTGTTATAAATGTTATTAATTCTGTAGTTGTGGAAGTTGCTGGAAGCATACATTTTTTTCCCCCAGTGAGAGTACTTTGTTTCCTATAGATGTGATTCACATAAATTAAAAGATGCTAAAGTGTGTCCTGGTGGGGTGGCTCACGCCTGTAATCCCAGCACTTTGGAAGGCCAAAGCAGGCAGACGGCTTCAGCCAGCAGTTTGAGACCAGCCTGGGCAACATGGTGAAATGCTGTCTCTACTAAAAATACAAAGAATTATCTGGACATGGTGGTGGGCACTTGTAGTCCCAGCTATTTGGGAAACTGAGGTGGGAGGATCACGTGAGCCCCGGATGTCGAGTCTGCAGTGAGCTTTGATCATGTTCCACCACTCCAGCCTGAATGATAAGAGTGAGATCCTGCCTAAAAAGGAAAAATAGGAAAAGAAATATGTTCTTATTCATGTATGTGCTGCCTTTTCCCAAGAAACTTAGTATTGACAGTTTAGACCTAATATTCTAGAAAGAGTTTGTAAGCCGCTGTTTCAGACTTTTCTCCAGTTACTCTTGTTTTTGACCAACTATGGCATGATCCATTGAGCCACGTATTTTTATCAGACCCTGCAAATCCCTTTTGCCTGTTTCTTTTTGTTTGTTTTTGTTTTTGTATTTGGTTTTTTGTTTTTGAGACAGAGTCTCGCTTTGACACCCAGGCTAGAGTAGTGCAGTGGCATGATCTCGGCTCACTGCAACTTCTGCCTCCTGGTTTCAGAAAAAACAAAGGCCTTCCCTCAAATGTGAAAAAAAAACATTGCCAGTTGCCAGTGTTGCTATTCCAGAGATCAAAGGAACGAAACTCCTCCATAAGAAGCTGAGATCCTGCCATTGCACTCCAGCCTGGGCAACAAGAGCAAAACTCTGTCTTAAAAAAACAAAACAGAAGTTTTGTACAGTGGCCCTGTGAGTCGAATAGATGTGTGACCTTCCCAAGGAGGCTGGAAAGGAAACAGAATATTCTTGGCTGTGTTAAATTCTGCTACGTTGTTTTAAAATTTTTTTTTTTTTATATTTTAGAGACAGGTCTCATTGTGTCACCCAGGCTGGGTAAAATGGTATATTCATAACTCACTGCAGCCTCAAACTCCTAGGCTCAAGTGATCCTTCCATCTCAGTCTCCTGAGTAGCTAGGATTACAGGCGTGTGCTACTGCACCTGGCTGGTGTATTTATTTTTAAAGTATTTGCATAATTCAAACCCCCGTTCTTATTGGAACAAGTATAGAACATCTACCAATGTCCAATTCAAAGGAACAATAAAGAATATTAAGTATATTTTTAATGTACAAGTACAGGATCACATGTTTAAAGATAAATTAAAATGCAAATATAAGGCAGGCAGTAATTAACATTCACAGGAACAACTATCAGTTAAGTGAGATTTGACAAAAAATTCTCTGAACCCCGTTCCAGGTATTAAAATGAAAAACTAACCACAAAGATGTGTGCCTGGAGGGGAAGACAGACAGCATCTGAAGTGAGCATGAGATAATTCTCTAATATATTTGCTAAATTTAACCCAGTTCCGAGGTCTATTAATTAGATTATATCATTCCTCAATGGCAAGCAGTAATGGTACAAACTGATCCAACCACATCAGTACAATGAAGATCTTTGTAGAGAAATAGTTATGTTCCAGAAAAAACTGATAGCGGCAATGTCATAGGCATTTATTAGACTCTGCATCATGCCCTCCCAGTTTTGTGCATTCAGCTTATCAGAGTCCCCACCTGTAGCTCCCCTGCCCCAGCCGAGCTAGTGAGAATCCTACATCCTTGTCGTTTCATCCATAACCTTTTCCCCACCCACCTGCGCTTCGCCACTGCTGCTTCCTCTGCGTTGTTTTTTGTTGTTTTTGTTTTTGAGACAGGTTCATGCTCTCTTGCCCAGGCTGGAGTGCAGTAGCGTGATCACAGTTCACTGCACCCTCTGCCTCCCTGGCTCAAACGATCCTCCCACCTCAGTCTCCTGATTAGTTGGGACCACACCAGCTATTTAAAAAAAAAAAAAAATTGTAGAGATGGGGGTCTTGCCATGTTTCCCAGGTTGGTCTTCAGCTCCTGGGCCCAAGTGATCCTCTTGCCTTGGTCTTCCAAAGTGTGGGGATTACAGGCGTGAGCCACCGTGCCCAGCTACATTGTAAACATGTTTGTATTCTAGACCCAGCCGGCAGAGTGATCCTATTAAAACCTAATCATGTTGTGTCACTGTGTTTCCCAGAATCCTCTGTGGTCTCTCATCTCATTCAGAGTAAAAGCCCAAGTCCATTCAGCGGCAGGCAGTGCTCCCAGTCTGTAACCCCTGAGGCTGTTGTCCCTCCCTGCTCTTCCCCCTTGCTCAGCACAGCCCTCCTCCCTGCTCTTGGACACAACTGGCCTCTGTGGCTTTGTACTTGCTCTTCTCTCTGAGAAGGAATTTTTTGTTTGTTTTGTCATTGTTGTATTCCAAGCACCTAGAACTGCCTCGCAAACAGTAGTGCTGAAAAACAATTGAATGAATGAGGAATGAATGAATGAATGAACAAGTTAATGAACTGCATTAATGTTTCCTTAATGTTGCTGCCGTAAGAGCCTGAATTCTTTTTCTTATGACTGTATTCCCAGCCTGGCTTTCTGGGGCAACTCCTGCTTCTGCAAGATCAGCTTCTGTTCTTCACATTTACCTTTTCCTCTCGCCTTCAAGTTACTTGTTCTATAACTTGAGCTCTCTCTCTCTCTCTCTCTCTGTTTCTCTCTCTCTTTCTCTCTCTCTGTGTGTACACACACACACACACACACACACACACACACACACACACATAGTTTGTTTGTTTTTGAGATGAAGTCTTGTTCTGTCACCCAGCCTGGAGTGCAGTGGGCGCAGTCTTGGCTCACTGCAACCTCTGCCTCCTGGGTTCAGGTGATTCTACTGCCTCAGCCTCCTGAGTAGCTAGGACTACAGGCACCCGCCACCACACCCAGCTAATTTTTGGATTTATTTTAGTAGAGACGGGGTTTCACCATGTTTTACATGGTCATGTAAAGACCATGTTGGCCAGGATGGTCTCGATCCCTTGACCTTGTGATCCACCCACCCTGGCCTCCCAAAGTGCTAGGATTACAGGCATGAGCCATCACACCTGGCCTATATATATATATATACTTTTACTTATAATATAAAAGATAAATACATGCATAATATTCAGTAAGTTATATATCTTGTTGAATCACAGTATCTTTATTAGTCTTCGAAAATAATTGTATTACTTCCTTTCTTCCTCATTAGTTCCATGATGTTTCCATTTTGCATCTTTCTCATTTCCTTGGAAAACTCCCGTAACATTTTCCAACCTGTGTGTCCATCCCCCACGGCTTGCTGTTGAAGTGGAGGGCTCAGTTCTGATCCCCTCTCGCTGACTAGTATAGTACCTCATACAAAAAGAAAGGTGCCTATGGCATGGCAGTTTAATGTGAAGTTATTTTTAAGAAATTCGCAGAACTTTCTTTTTTAGAGCAGTTTTAGGTTCATAGCAAAATTGAGCAGAAAGTCCAGAGTCCCCACACGCTCCTACCCACCCCATCCTTCCTGACTACCAACATCAGGGTGGTACATTTGTTACAGTCTGTGAACCGTCATTGACACATCGTAATCACCCAAAGCCCCTAGTTAACAGTAGGGTTCACTCCGTGAACAAACAGTAGGGTTTGGACCATTGTATAATGATGTGTCTACTGTGATGATATCACACAGTATTTTCATTGCCTTAAAAATTCTTTGTGCTCCACCTACTCATCCCTCCCCGTCCCCTCACCCCTGGCGGCAACCACTGATATTTTTACTGGATTCATAGTTTTACCATCATACAGTATGTGTCTTTTCAGATTGGCATGTTTCACAAGGTAATGATATGTTGCAATTTGAGTTTTCTTGACACTGAAGTTTGGCATTTTTGCCTTTCTTTGTCTTAGGCTACTCACTAATGGATGAGGAATGGGTACCTTCTGAGTTTTAGGAGGCAGCAGCATGAACTGAAATATTCACTTCACTCTTCATGATATTGAAGGAATTAAGTGAATGTATTTTCTTACTCCTCTGTTCACTCCCCTTCTTTTCAAGCTTGCCATGCAGTGGATGATTCATCTGTTGTTGGATTAAAGTATTTGCTTCTTGGTGCCATACACAAATGCCTAGGAAACTCAGAAGATGCTGTTCAGGTAAACTATTAATGTTTTCAGGGCTAAAGAAAATAAATCCTGAACACCTACATATATGCTTGTAAATAAGAAAAATGAAAAAGCACTAAACAAAACCGAACCTCCCACTATGAACTTTATCCAACTGATTCGATTAATGCCATTGTCTCAGATGCTAGAAGTTGATGATGGTTAATACTAGTTTTTACTTTAGATTCTTAGAATGCTTCTTTATATACGGACTCCTTTTCCGGCATTAGTATTTATCAAAGATGACAGTCTCTACGTGAGAGAGAAGGATATGAGGAAGCAGACGAGTTTGAAGGAGCTGAATGAAGCCTCATAGTTAGATAAGAACAAAAGTGATCAGACATGCCAGTCTTTTTAACTGTGGATTATTGATGCAGTCCTGGGGGTCGGCGAGGGAGTTGTTAGCTTAGGACAGTCTGTGTATATATTATATAAGAAAGAATTATTAATTATTTTAAAATATAGTTGGAAGGATTTTTCTAAAGTTTTTTTGTGGGATTGGTTATTTTGAAGAAGTATGTATCAGTGTTACTTTGACTACACTTTGAAAGAATCAGTGTACAGTGGCTGGGTCTAGTGGCTCACGCCTGTAATCCCAGCACTTTGGGAGGCCAAGGCGGGTGGATCACTTGAGGTCAGGAGTTTGAGACCAGCCTGGCCAACATAATGAAACCCTATCTCTACTAAAAATAAAAAATTAGCCAGGTGTGGTGGCACACGCCTGTAATCCCAGCTATTCAGGAGGCTGAGACACAAGAATTGCTTGAATCCAGAAGGCAGGGGTTGCAGTGAGCCAAGATTGCACCACTGCCCTCCAGCCTGGGTGACAGAACAAGACTCTGTCTCAAAAAAAAAAAAAAAAAAAAAGGAATCAGTGTACAGTATTAGGAGACTTTTGGCTTTTAAATCCTAGATAATAATGTTCTTGTAACTTTAGTCTTTCACTGTGAGCTTATGGTAGTTATTACAGCCCTAAATAGCTTATTTTAGATCAAATGCTTAAGTGCTCACAAGATACAATCAAGACACATATCAAGAGATGGTAGTTGCCTTGTGTGTTTTCTGTTTTAAATATAAAATGGGATGTTTACACTCTTAGATACAGATAAACATGTTCTCAGTAATAAAATCAATAGAGGCTAATATGTGCCCTGGAAAAATAAGTAGCACAGATTAGGTAGTCTGATATATTCTGAGGAGTGCACATCAGGCAACATGTAAAGAACTTCTAAGATGCAGATAGGAAGGAATGAAGATGAGGAGAGAAGAAAAAATCTGATCTAGAAAACAGAGTATGAGTCCCCCTTCGCACCACCTCTTGAAGATTGTAATAAGCCTTATGCTAAGTAGGAAAATGAATTCATCCAATAACACTTGCATTCCTTTCAGTACTTCCAGCGGGCTGTGAAAGATGAATTGTGTCGTCAGAATAACTTGTACGTTCAGCCTTATGCCTGTTATGAACTTGGCTGTCTTCTATTAGACAAACCAGAGGTAAGGTCTTATATATGTATATTTTAGTAATGTTCATCAACAAAAATGTAGAAGTGAGCAAACACAAAGCATCCTTCATTTAAAACAAATTGATTCAACACAGTTTTCTTCACTTTGTTTTCCTTGATTTCACTTAGGATGAGTCCAAGAAGCTAGTAATACTATCTTACTCTCTTTAAGGAGGTAATTTCTTCCCTAGAATTCAAATTACAGTCATACATCTCTTTTTTTTTTTTTTTTTTTTTTTTTTTTTTGAGACAGAGTTTCGCTCTTGTTACCCAGGCTGGAGTGCAATGGTGCCATCTCGGCTCACCGCAACCTCCGCCTCCTGGGTTCAAGCAATTCTCCTGCCTCAGCCTCCCTAGTAGCTGGGACTACAGGCGTGCGCCACCATGCCCAGCTAATTTTTTTTTTTTTTTTGTATTTTTAGTAGAGACGGGGTTTCACCATGTTGACCAGGATGGTCTCGATCTATGGACCTCGTGATCCACCCGCCTCGGCCTCCCAAAGTGCTGGGATCACAGGCGTGAACCACCGCGCCCGGCCAGTCATACGTCTCTTAACAACATTCTGAGAAAGGCATTGTCAGGCGATTCCTTCGTTGTGCAAATATCACAGAGTGTACTTACACAAACCTAGATGGTATCACCTACTACACAAACAGGCTGTACCTATAGCCTGTTGCTCTGGGCTAGAATCCTGCACAGCATGTTACTATATTGAATACTGTAGGCAACCGTAACACAGTGTTAAGTATTTGTAAGTGTTAAGCATCTAAACATAGAAAAGGTATAGGAAAAACACAGTTTTTAAAAGATAAAATATGACCAGGCTCAGTGGCTCATGCCTATAATCCCAGCAGTTTGGGAGGCTGAGCCAGGAGTATCACTTGAGCCCAGAGGTTCAAAACCAACCTGGGCAACAAAGTCAACTCTCATTTCTACAAAAAAAAAAAAAAAAAAAAAAGGGAAAAACAGTCAGGCATGGCAGCACATGCCTGTAGTCGCAGTTAACCTGGGGGCTGAGGTAAGAGGATCTCTGGAGTTTGAGGTTGCAATGAGCCATGATTGTGCCGCTACACTCTAGCCTGAGCAACAGAGCAAGACTTTGTCTCAAAAAAAGAAAGAAAGAAAGGTTATAGCTGTATAACCACTATCTAACCATTAATTTTAAGGTTGTTCAGTAAGATTTTTAACCTAATATATTTTAGAGGTTACCTTTTATAGACTATGAAAAATTATTTATCAAGTAATTATATATCACGTAATGTCCTCATGTAGACAAATCCACATCTTTATATTAAAAAATATTGGGGCTGGGCACAGTGGCTCACACCTATAGTCCCAGCACTTTGGGAGGCCAAGGTGGTGGATCACCTGAGGTTTGAGACCAGCCTGGCCAACATGGCAAAATGCTGTCTCTACTAAAAATACAAAAAATTAGCTGGGCGTAGTGGCAGGCACCTGTAAACCCAGCTACTCAGGAGGCTGAGGCAGGATAATTGCTTGAACATGGGAGGCAGAGGTTGCAGTGAGCCAGGGTCTTGCCACTGCACACCACACTCCAGCCTGGACAACAGAGTGAAACTCCATCTGAAAAAAAGAAAAAAGAAAAAGAATATTGGAGTCATTATACTTGAATGAACAGTTGACTCACTGCTGTGTCTACTGTGAATTGTTTTAATTAACATAGCCTCCTTATACCGTTTTCTGCCTGCATATATATAAACACAGATTTTAAGAGATAATGTGTTTCTCTTATAGACTGTAGGAAGAGGCAGAACTCTACTTCTTCAAGCAAAGGTAAATATCCTGAATCTGCCTTTCTCCAGTGGCCTGTCTTATCCAGTACAGTGTACACCTGAGTCTGAATTCAGGAAAGTTTATGCATTGATGTTCTGGTTGGTAATATTTCTGGAAAGGAAAAATGATAACTAATTAAATCAGTGAGCTCTTGAGTTTTAAGGGAAATGGTAAGATCAGAAGGAACTCCTATGAAATTGTTCATCCTGCTTTAGAAACACTCTTAGAGTTTGGGTGGGAAAACAACTTTAGATTTTATAACTATGTTCTTGAGTTAAGAATTTCTAACAGTAACTTATATTGAGCACAATGTAACACTACTTTTTCAAGAATAACATGAGGAAAATTGTCCAAAGAGAACATTATTGACATTCAGTTGCTGTTTTCAAAAATGAATACAAAGTTTGAGGTTGAGTAATATGAAAATCAAGTGGATGGGAAGTCTTTACTAGGAGTATAGAGATTTTATTTTGGGAGTACAAAACTTAGCGTGCTTTATACCAGAGTACCCTGTGCAAGCTTAGCTAACAGAGGGCATAAATATCTTTCTTTGATCTTACAGGAGGATTTCTCTGGCTACGACTTTGAAAACAGATTGCATGTCCGCATCCATGCTGCTCTGGCCTCTCTGAGGGAATTAGTTCCTCAGTGACAGACCCGGAACACCTGCTCTGTCCCTCCCCACCCAGGGTCCGCACTTTAAAATAAAAGCAGAGGACAAAGCTCTTGTGAAGATCGGCTTTTCTTCTGAAAACCACCTGTGCCAGGGACACATTTTCCCACTTAAGCTGACATATTAAAGATCTCCTCTTTTAAACATGTAGCTAAAAAGTAATAATGATGTTGAGGAGGAGGATGATGGTTATAACTAACCACCTGGGGAGAGGGTTAAGTGACCTTGCTCAAACATTTTAGTTTTGTGATTTATTATTTTTAAAAGTCAAACAAAATATCCAACCCAAGATCCTGTAGGAACACCTACCGTAAGCACATATCTGAATGGGTAACATATCTGTAAATTATTAACAATATCATGACATAGCATTTATATTTGTGTTTTGAAAAAATAAAAGTGCTTTCTAGCGTTTTACTTTATCTTCACAACTCCAGTGAATAACATAGCACAGATATTCTTAACCCCACTTTGCGGACAGTGAAACTCAGGCACAGAAAGGCTAATTGACTTATCCCAATTAATTATTCCTGTTATCAGCAGAGCAATGAATAGAAAGCAGATTTCCTGACCATCTGTTCTTTTTATTATAAAAATAATTCATGTTAATAGGCCAGAATTCCATGCTTTACTTATTAAAAGAACAAAATCTTCAGTTGAAGTTATGTCAACAGAAACACTCATCTCCAGATTGTCTACAGAAAGTTTCAAAGTGATGGACACTCTTTTTTTCCTTCGAAAGCCAACCAAGTAGGAGCAAATATTAATAGAAGATGATTTTACAACTAAAAGTGTAACTCTTTTGCTAATCTATTAGAAGGCATAGTCTATAGATTAGACAAATAATATCTACATTTTGAGGGTTTTCCTTTCTTTCTGAAAATTGTCAAATTACCAACTTTTGGAAATCTTTTAACAAATGAGTTGAACGATTATTTGTGAATGAACATAGATTTTTGCCTCAAAATATTTGCTGGTGGAACATTTGCTGGGCTACACAGTGCCAGGTTTTAATCATTTTCCCCTTAGCTCAGGTTATTTAGATACTATAAAAGGAATTCAAAGTTATTTTTTTATCCTTCATTGCTAATTTTTATTGTCATTTAATTTACCTCCGTGCCCAGTACTGCAAACCTGTGGTTTTGAAGAATCTAAATACCTCAGTCACTTTTAAGAATCTCTGCCATAATTTGGCTCAATGTTTAAGGTTAGGTTTTTAAAGAAATTTTTATTGAGCAAAAGGGTATCATTTTAGAGTATCATTATTTACAAATTCTTTTGGCTGAAGCATGATCTCATGATATTAATATTTTAATATTTCTTTTCAAAATAAAACATGAGAAAAGCAAGTAGAATGTTGGCAAATTTAATCTGATTTGACCTTGTTTTGAAGGAATAATAATAATTTCTTTGAAAGAAGTTATTTCTCACTGACTTTGGCAAAACTATATTCATGTTTCTTCATCTCTGTTACCCACTTTTCAGTAGACTGTTTCCAAAGTGTTTATTCACAATGACTTTCTCTTGATGTGAATTCGGTGTGGATTTTTACATAATAGTAAGAGAGAAGAGATTGCTCTCCTATATTCAGTGTATGAGAGCTTCCAGAAGCCAAGAAGGGAACTTTTTTCTGAAGAGAAAAATTGGTGTCCAAAAATATTGGATATCTGGTTTTATCTAGACTGAAGGGAAGAACAACATTATGAATCTTTAAAATAAGGCTATTGCCATTTTGTTCTCTTCTTAACGTGCAGCATAGGTGACAAGCTTTTCTGTCGTGATCGTGGGAGCATTCTGAATCATGGCATTCTCGTTTCAGAGTTCGTTCTTGAATTTTCAGTTTAAAATATTGTTTGAACTATTATTCCATATTCAAAGATTACATAATTGACTCTTTTTCAGAAGATTTATTTCTGCCTGCTTACAAAACTACGTTTATTTCCCCATAGAGAGATCAGGACTTCAGATGAGTTTGTGTTCAGCTCACTTACCTGGATAGACAATTTTGTGTTTTGCAACACCATCCTGTAGGTTTTCTTTACTAGTCAAAGTGTAGGTCTTTTTAAAATTTTATTTATTTATTTTGAGATGAAGTCTCATTCTGTCACCCAGGCTGGAGTGCAGTGGTGCCATCTAGGCTCACTGCAAACCTCTGTCACCCAGGTTCAAGCAATTCTCCTGCCTCAGCCTCCAGAGTAGCTGGGATTACAGGTGCCTGCTACCACACCTAATTTTTAGTGTTTGAGTAGAGACGGAATTTCACCATCTTAGCCAGGCAAGTCTTGAACTCTTGACCTCATGATTCACCTGCCTCAGCCTCCCAAAGTGCTGGGATTTCAGGCATGAGCCACTGCACCCAGCCAGGTCTTTTTTTTTTTTTTTTTTTAAGAGTCTATTCTAGGCTTGGTACAGATGGCCCCCTTGGAACATCTGTGTTAACATGGTGGTAGACCATGAAGAGTGGGTAGATGGAGCTTCTAGACTCCAAAACAACAAAACCACAGTGTGAGTACACTGTCCCATTAGATTGACCGAAGTCTGAGTACATTTTCTGGCCTGTGTGCTGTGACTCATCCAACCTGTGAACTGCTTGTGATCCGCCTGGTAACTTGGTTTGGTGTAAACTGCTCTTAACCCTTTGCTGATGAAGACAATAATCATATAAGTGGAACTATTTGCATCTATGTGTGTTTCTTTTTTATGTTGTCATCACTCACTCCTTCCCCTTTCCTATTTTGGAGGCTCTCAATGGATCTTCTAGTTTATAAATGTCAAATATATTTTTGTATTAGATTGTGCCTATGATGAGAGAAATCTCTAATGTATATTTTATGTATGCTGAACACATTTTTATAATTTGACACACTTGGAGGCATGGTCTAGTAATAATAATGTAATATATACCTTGCTGGTTAATATAACTAAGATTTTACCTTCAATGGATTAGGTATCTTTTTTATTTTAGCACTTGATAGCTGTCTTCTACTGAGTAAAGAATTATAACTTTTAGATGTCACAGAAAATTAGAATATTTATTGTCACATATTGTGTAAGTCAATTATTTACCGAATTTGCACTTTTCTGTCTCTGCCAACTAAAGTGAAAGGACAAGTCATATCTGATTTTTAAAATGAGCACATGCGTGCATGCGCGTGCACACACTCACACTCTTCTTTGCTGTTTAAACTTTTCCATTGGATTTCTTCCTTGAGTAAATCGTGGTGGCAGGTGTTCAAATGTGGCTTTACACTATGAAGATACACATTCACAAAGTCATGATGTACTGTTTTGGTTTCTGTGGATGGTATATGTTGTAGAAAGACAATTGTTAAATTGAGATCATTCAAGAAGATATATAGTTGAGGCAGATACTTTAGAAGCTAGAAGAGGAAATGCAGCAAGAGAAAAGGATAGGAGAGCAAGAGAAAAAGCCATAACAGATATGCTCCTTCCTCAGTAAAGTATGCAGAAATCACCAAGAGCACAGTTTAACTGGCTTTCTTGTGAAAACTAGCAAGGGTATCACCTAGTTGACTTGGGTGTGAAATAGAAGCAACACATTTGAAACCCAGGTGACCTCTATGTAATGCTTAGTTCCTCTTCCCAGAGGCCAGTGGTTGTCAATTTTCGTGTTTTACATAGAGATTCTGATTTGATAGGTTTGAGGTAGGGCTTGGGAAGGCATTTTTAACAAGCTCCTGGGATGATTTCTTATGCAGGTGATGTGGATTAGAGAAACACTGCCTTATTTATCTTTTGTTAAGTATTTAGTAAAACTGGGAGAAGAGTCAAACACAGGCAGAAGTATATAGAATTATATAGCAAGGGTAAGTCATAGAGCATAGCATACATCATGGGGCCACTGAGAAAATGCTTCTAACTCACTGGCTTCCTAAAGTAGGAGATTTCTGAGATGAGTTTTAAAGGATAAGCAGGATCCAGTCAGGTGAAAACACTTGGTGGAGTAGCATCCAAGGCCTTGAACCTGATGTGCAAAGAGCACAGAGGTGACAAATGCCATGTGTGTTCAAGACTGGAGGGTCAAGTGGGAACCACATGGTGAGAGATGAAATAGGAGAGGTATGCAGAGGCCACACCCAGAACCATGGACTTCCACAGGGTAAGGATTTGGGGTGTGGGGGAGGGGTAGTAGAAAAGAAGACAGTTGCATTTTAAATCACTGGTGACCGACAAATAAAATACTGGTGACTGAAAAGGAGGCCAAGGCCAACATTGTGAAGCCACATCAAATCATTAAGAGTTCAAGAAATGAAAGCAGCAGATGGGCAATGGTTTGAAAGTTCTTGGTTAGATGTTTTCATTGAAACAATTTGGATTTCAGAGTAACTTAACCAAAACATTGCAATGAAGAAAGAGTAAAATCTTATATTTTCAGAGTTACAGGTATTTCTGCATGATACCGTACACCTAATAGATGCTTGAGATGACCCACCCAGGTTGGGTTAAACAACCATAAATGTCTCCAGTTCCAAAAGACAACATAGATGAGGTCTCAGTGTTTGTACTTAGGATTTTTAGTAGTTCAGTTCATTATTTCTCTGATAGCCCAATGAGTCATAAACCAAGCCATAAGAAGTCATGACAACCTCATCCCACTTTTATTTACATTACCAGAGTGGTGCTGGAGGCAACTGATGAGGGATGAAAACTGTATCATCGGCAGACCCACCAACACAGTTTAAAAGCATTTCTCCCCCTTTTTTTCTTTTCTTTTTCTTTTCTTTTCTTTTTCTTTTTTTTTTTTTTTTTTGTGAGATGTAGTCTCTCTATTTCTCTCTTTTTAAGTATGTAATCTTCCCAAGAAGAGGGAACTTGCCTGGCTCTCAGTAATTATTAAATGGATTAATGAATGGCCCCAGATAATGCTGAGGCCTTAACATTGCCCTTTATTGCAAAGTGCTCTGGAAGCCCTAATGTTTTCTGAATTAAAAAAATAGGGTTTTGTTGTTGTTGCTGTTGTTGTTAGGTATTTGCCTTGGTGATTCTCTTTGGTTTAAAGTAGTTGCTTTTTTTTGAGACGGAGTCTTGCTGAGTAGCTGGGACTACAGGTGCATCACGACTGGCTAATTTTTTTTTTTTTTTTTTGTATTTTAGGAGAGACGGGGTTTCACCATGGCCAGGATGATCTCAATCTCCTGACCTCATCAGTTGCCCGCCTCAGCCTTCCTAAGTGCTGAGATTACAGGCGTGAGCTACCACGCCCGGCCACAGTAGTTGCTTTTTAAACATTTGAAGGCGGATCAAAATTAAGTCTGCTTGTACTCCAATGATCATGATTATGGTGTTATTTAAATAACCCCCGCCCAAATACCTGAGCCTAAATGAGTGAAAGAGCACAGAGCGGGCGTTTCTAAACTTAACAACATTCCTTTAGTTTGGTAAAACTGAGTGGAAGTTACACGCAGTAACTCTTCCAGTTGCAACCTGTCCCTGACGGCGTGCTTTTGAGGGATAGATGGTGTCTGATCGCAACTATGGAGAATCAGGAGATTTTGGGATTCATGCTGAACTCCCATTCCACAGGAGAGTTTCCCAAAAGAAAAAGTACTCTGTTGCATAAAGTTATTCACTCTTTATGTCTACACCGTGGCAGAAATCGTTCTTCCCAAAGGTCACGGAAGACAGCTATAGTTTCGGGGGCCAGGAGCAGTGTGTGAAACGGCGAGGCAGCGACAGCAAGACAGCACCAGCATAAATCCATTTCCTTCCAAACCAGCTTTAATTTTAGGCCTAACGACCAAAGAGGGAGAGGCGTCGCTTTGAGCTACTCCTGGCCGTTTGTTTGGAAATAAATTCACTTAAATCCCTTCAGATTTAGCCAGAAAAAAGGAACTATGCCTCCCTCGCCGGCCACCTTACGGCCTTCCTAGCTTTCAGCTTCCCATTGACGGCAGCCGCTGCGGCCCCGCCCCCTCGCGTGCGTGCGTGCGTGCGTGCGTGCGTGCGTGCGTGCGTGCGGGGCTTTGTGGCGCGAAGCTTTGTGGCGCACGCGCTGACGCGCCTCAGGAGATATAAAAAGGCACGCAAGACTCGGCTTTCCTCAGGAGCCGCCCGCAAGCGGGTAACGAGGAAGCTCTTAAGAACGCAGCCGGAAAGAAGGTGGGGAGAGTCTGGGGAAAAGACGCACCCTGCGGCTTCGGAGACAGTTTGGCCTCAGGCCGTCTCGCGTAACTGGAGACGTCGTGGGGGCCCCAAGCAGAGGGTCCTCGGAGTTGGGGGCCTGTGGGGCGGCACCGCCCACCCCGGGGAGTGCGGCCGGCGGATTGCCAGCGCTGTGGCGGCGCTCGCGAGTCGGGGCCTCGGCGGGTCCGCCGCCCGCCTCCTGAGCGAGTGCAGGCGAAATGAGCGCGCCTAGCTTCCTCCGTCTCCCGCCCCTCTTCCCCCAAACAGACCAAACCAAGTGCCAAACGAGGAGCGGTGACACAGCTGGGGCCCAGACACCGGAGGGTTTTGTTTTTTTTTAGCGGGGGCACACACCAGAGGTTTTTGGGGTTTTTTGTTTGTTTGTTTTGACGGAGTCTCGCTTTAGGGAGGAGTTGGAGAGTGCGGTGTCCGTTACCTGTGGTTCCGAGGTCCCCGCTCGCTTCCTGAAAGGCGTCGCGTTTCCTGCCGACGCCGTGACCCCTGTGGCCGTGGGCGCAGGGACGTTTGCAGTTGGGCGGGGGAGGGTTTTCTGGTGCTGGTGGTGGACCCGTGTTGTTGAGAGGTCTGGGGAGAATGTTCAGCTGCCGCTCTTCACCCTGGTCGTTTGTGATGATTTTACCCGTTGATTCTTCTCAGCTGGCTCCGGATCGTTCTTTGTGGGGAACTGAACTGTAGGATGTTTCGCGTCCCTGGCCCCACACGTTCCCAAAGTCAGTGAGAACTAGGACAGGGGAGCATGGAGTGCATGGCTGCTGTCCCCACTGTTGGTAGCGCCAACTGCTAACCGCCTCCTGAAAGGTGGTTGGCGCCATCGTGGTTTCTGGGAGCCTTGACGGCCTGTCTACTACCCACCTTGGGTACTGAAAGAAAAGGATGCGTATGAGTGCTGCCTGTGCCCGTTAGCATTTAGCATGTGGGCCTGCCGAAGCCCCACTTTCAATTTTTTAAAAAAATTCTTTGTTGGGCCGGGCGCGGTGGCTCACGCCTGTAATCCCAGCACTTTGGGAGGCCGAGGCGGGTGGATCACGAGGTCAAGAGATCGAGACCATCCTGGTCAACATGGTGAAACCCCGTCTCTACTAAAAGTACAAAAAATTAGCTGGGCATGGTGGCGCGTGCCTGTAATCCCAGCTACTCAGGAGGCTGAGGCAGGAGAATTGCCTGAACCCAGGAGGTGGAGGTTGCGGTGAGCCGAGATGGCACCATTGCACTCCAGCCTGGGTAACAAGAGCGAAACTCCCATCTCAAAAAAAAAAAAATTATTTGGTTTTGTGAGTACGTCATAGGTGTATATATTTATGGGGTACATGAGATGTCTGGATTCAGGCATACAATGTTAATCACATTATGGGGAATGGGACATCTGTTCCCTCAAGCTGTTATCCTTTATATTACAGACAATACAGTTACACTCTATTTTAAATGTACAATTAACTTCTTGACTATAGTCATCCTGTTGTGCTATCACACAGTAGGTTTTATTCATTTTTTATACCCGTTAACCAGCCCCACTTTCCCCCTCCCCCACCCAGGCCTCCACTACCTTTCCCAGCTTCTGGTAACCATCCTTCTACTCTCTCTCCATGGGTTCAATTGTTTTGATTTTTAGCTACCACAAATAAGAGACCATGTAATGTTTTTCTTTATGTGCCTCACTTATTTCACTTAAGGTAATAATCTCCAGTTCCATCCACTTTGTTGCAAATGACAGGATCTCATTCTTTTTTAATGGCTGACTAGTACTCCATTGTATGTACCACATTTGCTTTATCCATTCATCTGTTGATGGACATATAGGTTGCTTCCAAATCTTAGCTATTGTCAGCAGTGCTGCAACAAACACTGGAGTGCAGGTATCTCTTCAGTGTTTGATTTCCATTCTTTTGGGTATATACCCAGCAGTGGGATTGCTGGATCACTTCTGATTTTTTAAAGATGGTTTAATTCAGTAAATCTGTCGAATGATACTGTGAAAGGAAGTTTTCATTAAAGGTGTGCTTTGACCAAACATTTATTTTGTCCTGACCTTTGGGAAGATGAGATGTGCTTTTAAGTATTCAACATTTTGCTGTGCTATATGAGTTACTTTATAATAGAAGCTGGGCCCTTCTATAATTGTTATAACTAAACTATGCCACTTAGCCCCATGAAACTCATTATTTATTCTAGGGATGTTGTTGAGGACATGGTTCATTGTATCACACCATTTGCTTTATAAGGACTCGGGGGGGAGAAATTTCTCCTGGGTTTCAGTATCCAGAATAGCTGTGGTTCTCCCAAGCAACTGATTTTTCACTTAAGGAAACCTGAATCATTTAACCACCTGTTTCCTATTTTGTGATGGCAGCTTGGTAGCTCAGGGACAGATTTGACACCCATCTTTATCAAAGTAAAGGCACTGAGGCATGCACTGGGGTATTAACTTCACCTGTCCTTTATCCTGTTTTTCCTGTCAGTTTTCCCCTCACCACTTTAGGGATTTTCTTAAATATTTAATTTTCTTCTTTAGAAGCCTGAGATATTTTAGAAGGAGTCAGAACACATACACCCTGACACAGTTTAAGGTGGCAGCCTCTGCAACTCTGAGAATTACAGATTGGTCTGTGCAATACGTTTGATAATACTTAAAAGTCAGAAAGCCAGAAAGGGAAACATAAGGGAAAATTTGCACAGAGGGTAAGGGAGATACTAGAAAAGAAAGGTACAGATGACAGTGGGTGGTATAATAATGCCACAAATAAATTATACCCACTCTGATTAATGTTAAAAACAAACTTATTCCTGCAGGTATGAAGCAGGCTAGAAAAAAAAAAAAAAACCTAAAAAATGCACACTTAAAGATAAGCAACATGTCTGAGGATCTATTTAGAAAAATAAGGAAAAAAGATATTAAAAACTGTCTTGTAACATTTGATTAATATAAGTACAGAAGGGCCAGTGCCTTTGTGGTTTGGAAGGACTTGTTTAGAAACATACATGAAATGTTAACTGCACAGAATATTCACTGAGTTTTAGAGCAGGTTTTGTTTTTGTTTTTTATGTCCTCAGGGTCTTGGCAGAGCTTTTCCTGTGGATTTCTATAATGGTACTAGATTGCTCATCTGCACTTAGTAAGCTATTGATAGTAGAGTTTGTGTGTGTGTGTGTGTGTTTTAACTACCATCAAGAATTAGTCCATTTTATTAAAATGAATACCTAAATATTAGAACTAAAGTTAGTAATTTTAATAGGAAATAATTTATTCTTGGAAAGTATAGTTAACTCATAAGAACTACTTTAGTAAAATTAATTATTTATAAGACTTGGTTGTTTTTTTTTTTTTTTCATTCTAGTTGAGTTACAGACATCCTGCCAAAATGATTTCTTCAACGTCCAGATTTGGCATACCCTATGGCCTCAAGACTCTACTCGAAGGAATTAGCAGAGCCACTATCAAAAGCAACCCATCAAACATCAACCAGTTTGCAGTAGCTTATTTTAAAGAACTTACTATGTATAGAGAAGGTTTGTTATTCCTTTATATGTTTGCTACTTTGAAAAAGAAAACATGTTAAGTTGGTAATTTTCTGCCTCTGTATTTCCTGTATTCTTTCATTATTCATTTGTATGTTTGCTACTTTGAAAAAGAAAACATGTTAAGTTGGGAATGTTATGTATCTGTATTTCCTGTATTCTTTCATTATTCATTTATATGTTTGCTACTTTGAAAAAGAAAACATGTTAAGTTGGGAATTTTATGTATCTGTATTTCCTGTATTCTTTCAGGGAATTCTTCTCTGGATATAAAGGATCTGGTTAAACAGTTTCATCAGATTAAAGGTAAGTACCACAAGTAGCAATAGTTTTAATAAGGTATTTATAAATTATTGCATCATTACTAGCATACATTCAAACTCAAGAATGGTGCCCACAAATTATTTTATGTTTGATCACATTGATCCTTTTTAAAACAAAATTATTTTTTTAGAGACGCACTCTGTCACCCAGGCTGGAGTGCAGTGGCACCTTGATAGCTCACTGCAGCCTGGGTCCAAGGGATTCTCCTGTCTTAACCTCCCAAGTAGCTTGAACTGCACTTGTGGGTCACCATGTCCAACTAATTTTTAAAAAATTTTTGGCTGGGTGCAGTGGCTAATGCCTGTAATCCCAGCACTCTGGGAGGCCCAGGTGGGTGGATCATGAGGTCAGGAGATCGAGACCATCCTAGCCAACATGGTGAAACCCTGTGTCTACTAAAATACAAAAAGCTAGCTGGACGTGGTGGTGTGCCCCTGTGGTCCCAGCTACTTGGGAGGCTAAGGCAGGGGAATTGCTTGAACCTGGGAGGCGGAGGTTGCAGTGAGCCGAGATTCTGCCACTGAACTCCAACCTGGTAACAGAAAAAGACTGCATCTCTTTATTTTTTTTTTTGATAACGACAGGGTCTTGCCGTGGCCCAGGCTGAACTTGAATTCCTGGATGCAAGTAGTCCTCCTGCCGCAGACTCCCAAAGTGCTGGTATTACAGGGGTGAGGAGAATTTGATTTTATGAGATTACTTAGGGAGGTTGTTTAAATACTTTTGTTGGAAGTTTTTCTTGTTTTTTGTGATGGAGTCTCACTCTGTTGCCCAGGCTGGAGCGCAGTGATGTGATCTCGGCTCACTGCAACCTCTGACCCCGGGTTCAAGCCATTCTTCCACCTCGGCCTCCCAAGTAGCTGGGACTCCAGGCATGTGTCACCACACCTGGCTTATTTTTGTATTATTAGTACAGACAGGGTTTCGGCATGTTGGCCAGGCTGGTCTTGACCTCCTGGCCTCAAGTGTTCTGCCCGCCTCAGCCTCCGAAAGTGCTGAGATTACAGGGGTGAGCCACTGTGCCTAGCCCAGATAGTTACTAAGTGAAGGCCAACCACCCATTTTCTCCCTAATGGTGTAATTGCAGTCCAGGCTGGAGGACGGGAGATAGGTGTCTCTGATCACACTTTTTGCTCAAATAGTGTCTTTGTTTATAGAGAGGTTTTTCATGGATAGTGGTCACCTCCAGCACATCTCAGACACTGTGACATAGTCCTATGTATTTGCTTAGAAGAAATTTGTGTTTGGTGTGTATATATGTAAATGTCTAATATCTAACGTGAACGTGACAGTATGAAACTCAGTTGACAGAAGCAATGAAAAAGTCAGGGAGAAATGAGGCAAAGTTTACATAGTGAAAATTTGGGAAGATCACTATAAACAAAAAAGGATATAATGGTCAGATCCCATGGAAGATGTACATATCTGAAAGAATGGCAAGAAAAAGCTTTTCAAATACTTTTGTGAAGAAGCCATATGGAGACTCCTCGCTAGTGTGAGAAATAATGAATTCTTACTATATTGGCTGGCCAACATTTTGGAATGATCATAGAGAAAAAAGGATTCAATGAGTTGTTAGCTACTTCTATACTGTCACTTTGGTGATGTTAATAGATATCCAAGGTAGAGAGAGATTATGGAGTATGAACTAGGAAAATCTTAGAGGAAAAATGTTAACTAGGAAAACTGAGGCTTTGGGTCTGCAGTGAAAGAGGTACTCAAGATCCAGAATAGCAAGGATCAGCATTTGAAGGGGCAAGAGAATGAAGCATTATGGTTCAGGAATATTTTCTCATCTAGTCTGGCTTCTTTCCTGCCGGACCTGATGGCATTCTCAGTTCAGCACAGGAAACAGGTCTGGGACTTGCTTACCATCAGCAGGATATACAGACAAGTGAAAGAGCATTAATTCTTTCCCTGGCAGTGAGTTTGGTTTCTTTATTAGTCAGTGTTACTACTGTCTATGTACTTGTATCCTCTATACTAGGCACTGAGTGTGCAGGCTGGCTGTTTGAGAATGGTGATTCAGTGAATCTTTATGGTGGAAGGTAATTAACTGGTTGCTTTTGAATTTGTTTACTGAAGGATTTATCCACTGTTCAGCTTAGCAAGTGGACTAAACAAATTAGATTCTGGTCTAGGTAGGTTAATATCTTTGAATCTCAGGGTTCAAAATTAACAGAATAACAAAATTAACGGAGCAGCCATCCTTTAATGGAGATAAAGGAGATACTGCCAGTTTTCTCCTCCAATAATTAAAGATATTGAGGAGGCTGACATGGTATACAGTAATCCTGAAAGCAAGTTCATAGCATAGTTGTAGAAATAGATTACTCTTTAGGCAGTAGAGTAGAAATGAACATTGCTTATTGTAGTTTACTAGGAATATGGGAAGGTATGATCAGGAAAAATAAGAGTTCAGCATTACCATTTGGCTTATTTGTTCAGTTTGGCTCATTTGTCTGTCTTTTATTATCCCAAATGGTTTCTTACTGGACATAATCCATTAACTTAGGTCCTGTCATGGACTGCGTGAGTTCACCTACATTCAGGAAAGCATTACTCTGGGCTAAAGAGGTACTATCTAGTAATATACAGGCAAGGATCCTACTTTGTAGAGCACTTCCTCCCGAGTGACACCCTGCTACTGGTTTAATTCCCTAACTGCTATTCCTGTAGAAGCTCTGGGTAAATTTGGTTGCATGGTTGGTCAGTTCTCCACAATAAAAATGTAGGTATAGGCCAAGCATGGTGGCCTATGCTTATAATCCTAGCACTTTGGGAGGCTGAGGTGGGTGGATTGCCTGAGTACAGGAGTTTGAGACCAACGTGGGCAACACGGTGAAACCCTGTCTCTACTAAAAATACAAAACATTAGCTGGGCGTGGCAGTGTGTGCACCTATAGTCCCAGTGACTCAGGAGGCTGAGGAAGAAGAATTGCTTGAACCCGGAAAGGCGGAGGTTGCATTGAGCCGAGATCGGGCCATTGCACTCCAGCCTGGGTGACAGAGTGAGACTCCATCTCAAAAAACAAACAAACAAACAAAAAAAACAAACATGTAGGTATAACAGGTAGTATCTTTTCTTTTGTTAAATAGAACTTCCCCTTTGTGGATCCCAGTTTTAAATAACAATGTTGTTACCTATAATACCCTACATGCTCCGTTGGCCCCAAGGATTGAGGCCCTCTCAGACTTTGACTTGCAAGGTTGGGAAATGAAGTATCCTTTGAAGACTAAATCAGCTTACCCTTATTCTGGTCCATCAGTCTCTTCAGCAGGAAGCTAGATCAGCCTAAAGACAGCACTAGATGTTAGAACTTGGTGATGTGGGCAAGAACTGACTGTCATCCCTGGTGCACTGGTACTCCCTCATCTCTCAGATATCACATAAGATGAGCATGAAAGATGTGTTTCATAAGAGTGCTCTGTGGGGATGTTGTATCCTCCAAAGTTACTCCTAAACTGGTGAGTCTGCTGCCTAGCAGTATTACTACCAAGCTGCCTGTATTCATGGAAAGCATGGAGATAAGAATATCCCTGCCTGTATCATTTGCTTTTGTTGAATACTCAAGGAGTGAAGCGAGAGGAATTTGAGCTCCCTTTTCCCCATATTGTCTCCTGCTAATTTCACTTGTCCCCACCACCCCGCTACCTTTTTGTGTGGAATCTGAAGCCCAGATTGTGCTGATTCTGATCTTTTCATCACTCAGTGAAGATGGCAGTGGTTTCCCATCACCACTATTATCTCTCATCCCTGAAAGCCAAATTGAGTCCTGTTTCCAGTGTCATCCCTGTCTTATCTCACAGAGATAAGAAATAGCCACCTCTTTTGAAGAATCAAGGAGACCTGGCCTACCTCAATCCCTTAGTTATCTTGTGAACTTTTCTAAGTGATCCTGGACATTCTTGGCTTGGCCACATGAAAATACTTATAGTCAGGAACTGCTGCTGATCATTGGGCCCAATTGCAATTACTGTGCAGCACCAAAGCAGTTATGCATCATCATTGTATTGAAATATTCCTATTGAGCTTTTAAGTTCTTATGCCAATGCTTTTATTATGCCTTATTTTACTTTGATAGTTGGTTACACATACTTGTAACTATCCATTCATAATTGAACAAGGGATATATATGTATTTCAGGCTTATCCATACTAAAGTTTGTGAGGCTCTGGCACTATTCTGCAACCTTTCTGGGCATTTCTTCAAGTACAGCTATCCTGATTCCCTAAACAGGGATGGGTATTATGCCAAAATGCCCCTTTTATTTCTTGAAGTCTTGCATTTACCTAAGCAGGGTGGTGATAATTTGTACCAAGGTAAGAATTTCATTAAACTTAGAAAAAGTTTGATCACATGATGATAGTGGGAGAGGGGCTTTGGTCCTTCATGCTTTTCCATTGTAGTCAGATTAATCAGTTGGAGAATAGTTTAGATGAAAGAAGGCCAAATAAATCAATGAGCAAATGGTATAGACAAGAATTGGGGTCAGAATATCAGACTAAGGGAATATGGGACTGGACAGGAAGCAGGTATGGCCAATCAGTAAAGCTAAACAGGAAACCAGTTTGCCAAGATAAGGTCAGAGACATTAGAAGACAGAGTCAAGACATAAGGGAAGGACATCTTGATTTTTTAGCTTTGTAGGCTGGATATATCACTCTGTTCTAATCTGGAAGCTCTGATAGCTCCCTATTATCCACAAAATCCAAACTCTTCAGTGTTGTAGGGATACTTCGAAAAATATTAAACTAGTATACTTAGATTTCACATATCTCCTAATTATTCCTGTTTGCTCTGTTGATATCTACCCATTGAAGTATTCATTGAGTTTAGAGGAAAGGCAAATAAAGCTTGGAGCAAGAAAGTCATTACTCAGTTTTGAGTTTACAAAGTTCATAATTTGGAATCTTGCAAGAGCCTGTTTCTGTTGAGAGGGAATGATTTTCTTGAAATTTCCAGAGCTGGATTTTAAAAA